ATAACTAAGGCCCATCTTCTGCTCTAGTTCTTTAAATAAGCTTGTGGAAAAGAACAAAAGCTGATCCAGTTTGTCCTTCATTTTTGAAAAGCTAATGGGAAGTATAGGTTGCACTAGTAGTGAAGTTTTCTATTTTCACTTTAATAAAAGTCACTGATATTTCTGTCAAATTCTGACTGTTACAATTCTTTAGTGATGTGAAGCATTCCCATAAATTGAGTCAGGAGCTGGAACAGTATGAGGGGTTTCATTCCCAAGTGACAGCAAAGCCATGCTAACTGCAATCAAGGCAAGTGTAATGCAGTTTGATACCGAAAGAACAATTTTCTATTTAGATCCCCTTTGGGTAGTGACAGTAATGAGTGAGTTCCCCAAGTGCAGCAGATTGTTGCCTCCCTCATGATGAATTCAGGAAATGTGCTCTGATTGCAGTCACTTAGTGTGATGTAAAACCTCTAGTAAATCGCTTTGGGGAGATGGGTTCAGTTCTTCTCATCTCACACCGCTATGGTCACAAGAAAAGTGCAGGTCCTGAGAGCCAGCAGTATTAACGCTGGTAACCCGCCTGAGGACGGAATGATGAATTTGGTTGTGCCACCACTGCTGAGGTGGCTGGTGCCTCACCGTAAAGGAAGTCCAGGCCCCACGCTTGCACGCAACGCAGAGAGCCCTGTGTGCCTATGGTCACCTTCATAGTAGCATGGACCCATTACCACAGTCTCTAAATGCAATCCTTCAGCACTCCTCTCTCCTGATTTCTTTCAGAGGCCACCTCCATTAATGGAAATTTTGTCTAAGAGCGTCAGTACTTGGTCATCATTATTGCACTGAATAAAGTGCATGCTTCAGCTAAGTCAGAACAAATATATTCTTTGGAAACCAAGAAAGAAGTTCTAAAAGTAACAATTACTACAATGTAAAATGATAAACATTATTACTGAAGAGGAGCTTTAATGAAAAATCTTTTATACCTTCCATTAAATCACACCAAAAATAGAAACAGCTAGGAATGACATGAGTGACAAATTACTTAAAAGTCAATAGCAACATGCTCATAATTCAAAATAATGCTTGATAGCATTAACATTTTAAAGTCCAGCTCTGTGAGCTCTAGAGGCTAAAATTTCCAGAGATGACTTTTCATGGATGTACATCAAAATCCATGTTTGGGGACATAGGTGGAAGTGCATCGGTCTGGATAAGTGCTGGGTGCCCCAGATCTCAGGGCATCCAGTTGGAGTTAAGGATGCTCAGCTCCTCCTCTCCAAGAGCTGCTAAAAAGATGAGGTAGAGAAGGTTTAACAGACATGAACCTCCTCCCCCACAAACAATCCATAGAATGCACGAGAGGCCTTTGTTCTCTTTAGGATGATACTAAACCTGCATAATATATTAGATTTATGCACTGGAATAACCTTTCAGCTGAAGGAAACCAGAAGTTTGGATTAGGAGTAGCTAAATAAGCTGGCTTCTTCCAGCCTTCAGGTCCCTTGAGACACATCTTTTCCACAGTTATAATTATTGCAGATGGACAGTTTTCTGTTTTTCAAAGCTGAACTATTAAACAAGTTAAAAATGTAATGGACACTTATACCCTTTATGGAGGTGATGCAGCAGCTAGATAGTTGAAGTTGAATTGACTTTTGCACTTAAGATAGGAATTTAGCAGGGGCTTTTTTTTTTGATGCATGGAAGGATGCTTTTTCCTCAGCAGGGCTATAATTGTCAGAGGGTTTACAAGTAAATCAGGCAATTAATTTAGGTATTAAAATGAGGTTTAAACCATGGCTTTAAAGAAATTTACCATTTGGGATCAGATATTTTTTGTTTTTAAGTAGTTCATTTGTTAGACTTCTATTACCTTTTAATTAGAGTTAACTTAAATTATTGCACAAGCTTTAAGTGAGTGGAAGAATTGGTTCAGTGGCATTTTTCTCGATTGTGTTTCATAACTGAAAGTTTTTTGCCTTAAGCGGAACCCGAGGAAATAATGTCTTCTAAGAGAAAAGTAAAGAATTCCCTTCTTCTAAAATGACTGCAATCTTCCTCTGTTCTAAATAACACAAAGCAGATAGCTGCTCCCAATTTGGGACCTACTGCAAAGCTCACTTATCTCCTTTTAGTTCCAGTTGACTGCTGAGCAGAGTTGAATAGTATCTCTTCATTCACTGGCATCGCAAAGTATTCCTAACTTTATTACTTATTGACATGGTGGGCCACCATCTTCCCAGGAGCAGTTTAGGCTCCACTTCAATGAGCTTGGTGGTTACTGATGGCCATCGTGGGGCAGAGAAGCTGGTGGTGTCAATGCAATGCGAGGTAGTGACCACCTCAAGTAGTGAAGGGGGCAGGAAGGATGATCTGTGGGATGTAAAATGCTGGGGGTTTCACAGCTGGGGAGAGCAGAGCCATTTAGCCCTGCAGGCATGCATGAGTTAGGTTACTCTGCACCAGGCTAGCATAAAACACCCTTGTCTGATATTGGATCTGAAGGGAGGGCTGATGAGGTCCTTTTGAGTTTGGATGTGTCCCAGCTTCAAGCCCCTTGAAGACGTTTTAGTTATTCTAGCATTGGCAGCTGGATGCTGAGGCAGCTGGAATGAGGATTGCCTTGGCGGAAACCCAGAGGAGTCCAAGTGTGGGAATGCCCAGCGTGGCACACCGCTCGGCCAAGCAGAGACCTCAGCAGCGGGGAAAGTGAAATCTAGTGCCTCTCTCAAATAATTTGGACATAGAATGTCTCATAAAAAATAAACATGAGGGTATTTAATAATTTCACATGTATTTTGCCTTATACAAGAAATACAACATACATATCTTTAATGACTTTTACTAAATTATTATGTGCTCTCCACTCTTACTAAATTTTAATGCTGTTTTCTTCCAATATTATTGCAATCTGCATTAAGAATATAATCCAAATTTTTCTAAAACACACAAATAGAAAAGCAATCATTACCTTTGGGATTTTGATAATTGAAGTGTAATCACTGTTTTCAGGACCCTTTCATAACTAAGGATGAAGAACCAGGCACTTACAGGCCTTATGATCTTGGAGAAGAAATGGGAGTCTGGGTGAACAACTCCGATGGCACAACTCCTGCTGTTGGAAAGGTTGGCTTATTAAATTTTCTCATGCATTTGGTGTACTGCTGCTTCAAAGTGATAAAACAGCTGCATAACAGAAGTGAGAAGATAACCAGTCGTTATACCTGTGGACTCTAGGCCTGGCCCCCCGGAGACTCGGTGTTTCCTGACTACACCAACCCCAGGACAGTTGAATGGTGGACCCAGATGTGTCTGGAATTTAAGGATGTTCTTGACTATGACGGGATCTGGATTGTACGTCTCATTATATTTGCCCTCCCTTCTTCTAAAAAAAGAAAAAGAAGCCTTTGACATGTGTATTACCCTTTTCATTAAAGGACATGAATGAACCGTCCAGTTTCTTAAGAGGCCAGTATCCTGGATGTGCTGTTAATGATATCAATAACCCTCCCTATGTTCCTAGTAAGTAAAATTCCCTTGACAATCTTTTTTTTTTTTTTTTTTTTTTTTAAATCCTGGATAGACTATTTCTTAGAAAAAAATTCCATCCTCTCATTTTCCATCTTTTCCTGCCCATTCTGTGCGTTTGGTTACATATTTGTTCAGGACTCCATTGGACTCGGCTTTGGTGGAGTATCAAACATGAGCCACTTTCCTCTGCCGGTGGGGCTGCCTTGTAACAGGATTAGAAAAATGGCCTTCCCTGCTATTCTCTGAACAACTGGTCTGCATTGGAGAAAGGGTAGGACACCTATGTACTGTAACTCAGCTACAGATTTATGGAAGGAGTAACCCTTTTGCCTTACCATCACCACTACCAGTCCTAGGGATGAGCAGGCTCTGCCTTTTCCACCAACCATGACAAGGAAGATGGCATCTCCCTGATGCCTTAATTCAATATATTTTCTTTCTCTTAGGAAAGAAATTTTCATTGCCTTATTAGAAATGGGTTAAAAATGAGTTTAAAAATGCCCAAGCCTATGGGAGACTGATAGGAATGGGAACACCTCTTCCAGTAGCCAAATTAATGACATGTTTTTTCTCCCCCAGGAAGCCACGAGTACCTACAATTAGTGCCAGTGGTCCTGGCAATTAACCCAGCCAACATTTCCTCAGGAAAGCCCTGCTGCCTGAGCAATGCTAATATGCAGCAGGAAGTTGATACATAAATGAGTTATTGACAGTGAAGTATTGGCAGTGTCCCCTTTTTCCCTTCAGGCTGTTGTACTGTCATGTGAATTCTTCATTTTATTTATACATCTATCTCATTTATCTTCATTCCAAATACCAGAGAAACACAAATATAACACAAGCATGACAAAATATTACAAAAAGATTGTAAATTATTGAAACCAGAAGCAGAGCTTTTAATTATGATTTTGGTGTTTGCTCTCTTCGTGGGGAAACCGCTGATTGTAACTGTTGTATACTGGCTCTATGGGTCTTGTCACTGACCAAAGCCCAGGAACTGATGCGACATTTCCCCCTATGCCTTGTTACCTCTATTTTTGTCAGCATTGAGAGCTGCAAAAAAAAGTGTGAGCCTTTGGGGAAGATGGCCAAAATAGCAGAGCTCCCTTCACCCTCACACATAAAGGAGTGAGGGATGGACCCATAAAGAGGCTTTGCAACACCTAGCACTGAATTCTAAACCATTATGGAAGAATCAGACTTAGGTACCTAGATACCTACATGACATGTAAGGACAATGAGGGATGCTAAAGACAGGTGTGTGTTGAGCCCGGTTTCTCTGTCTGACTTGTCCCTTCTCATGCAAGGATGCACCTACTTCTGCTTGTGACTCATGGTGTTGGTGTCCCTTCTGCAGACAGGAGCCTAAGGCATTTCTTCCAAGGTGTAGGTGATCTGTTTTCAACCAGTGTTTCAGGGCTTTCTTTCATATTCCACATTGTGCCAACACTGCATGTGCTCTTGTCTGTCCAAGCCCCCGACTGCTGTAGGCGTGACCCAAGCTGCGTAGTCCAACAGGACATTAGGACCTTCCTTGGGTTGGAAAGGTTTTGGGGCCTCACTGTTTTCTCGGGTGCCTGAATCTGTGCAAGTCCCAGTCTCAGTGCCTCAGGCTTTTCGTCAATGTAGCCTTCAGACTATTTTTGCTAATTTATAGCCACGATTACATGTAACTGCGGTTTGAACTTCTAAAACCAGATGTCCTTCAAATCAATGCTGTATAAAACACTTTATACTGAAGATTGATATGCAATTGTAAAATAATCAGTATTACTGAGGCAGAATACAAAGCATTCAGGATAAGAATGAAGCATGAAAGTATGACTCGTGGCAGCATTTTCTTTCATATCCCGACTTAAGTTTATGGGGCTAATAATTAAGTGCCACTGGGACATTAAGTGTGACTTCCTCCGGAACCTTACTGTCTTCTTCAAAGCCATATCAGTCAAAGTTACTTGGAAATTGTCTATAAATTATTTATTTCTGATGCAGATCAGCCGCGCCGAAGTCTTTGTGTCTAAAGACCCAAACACAAGGATTCCAGCTGTGGTGGCACAGCAGAGCAGAGAAGCTAATGGGGTTTCAAGTGCAGAGAAATGCACTTTGTAGTAATGAACTGCAAACACACAGTAAAGTGCGATTAGGCAGTGAGATTGCTTGCTCACGGAGAAATATTTACAATACTGCATGCACCTAATTAAGCATGCAGAAAAAGAATATTTGAGAATCTACCTTCTTTCTTTCTTTGAGAGGATTTTATAACCTTTTCAACTCCATCTCTAAAAGTAAATACATTGTATAAACCAAACA